TAGACAAAGAACCTCGAAAAAAAAAGAGCACCGCATGGCACACACTTATCCAAGAGCAAAAACAAAATACATAACTAACCCAAAATGTTTAAACATAATACACCAGAATATATCACTTTACATACTATTTCATGCTATTCTATCATATTTAAACCTTACCAATCCTCACAAACATATGTGTTGCGAGAAAAAAGCAACGCATGGCAAACACACACACACATCTAAGCATAAAAACAACATACATAGCTTATCCAATATGTTATACTATGATGCTCCCAATATGCCTTTCCGCAAGGCAGACGTTCATCCGCTACGACTTAACACACGATGCAAGAACTTAACCCTAGTACCTAGTATATATATATATAAATATTATATTCATATTTAGCGATATTATTCGGATACTAAAAATTTTACATAGGATTTAGCGATATTATTCGGATACTAAAAATTTTACATAGAATTTAGGACGATTTAGGACAATTTAGGACTATTAAAATATATAATATATTATAATATATAAATTTACAATAATTTACAATTTAAAATATTTCAAGATATATGATATTATATTTTTTAAATATTTTTAAATATATATTTTATTTTATGTCTTAAAAAAAAAAATATTCAACGACAGGGAATTATTTCATCCTTTTTCATCCTTTTTCCCTGATTTTTCTAGATTTTTCTTTAGTGGTCCCAAAAAGGATTCAGCAATCCAGGTCTGGGAAATGAGTAATGCATGAAGTTTATTGAAATTTGGCAAATTCTAACGATATATCTAATCTACCGCATTTCCAGGGCCCGCGCATTTTTTGTGCAGGTGGTGTACTGTGCTTGTATGTTTTGAGCTCTCCCTATCACAAACATATCACAAACTGCGCAAAGGCCATTCGTTTTGTGCATGTCTTGTCAGTATGGAAAACTCGTCGCTTTTGCGAAGACTTTCCATGTAGTCTGCGGATGTTTTATTGCAATTTTATTGTAATGCTATTTATGTTTTTGGTTCATCTTTGTTACCATTTCTGTGTCCGCGGTTCCCCTACAATGAAAATCAACCTTCTTCCAAGTCTATGGCTCGGAAGAAAGTCGGACCGTCGAATCTGTCTATCGCAGTTCAATGGAAGACTGCCTGGTGAAAAGACTGTCATAGCTTGATCTGTCATGGCCTGATGCGGAGTCCAGCTGATATCTCCGTGGCCACACACTTCCAACAAAATATGGGCTTTCCATCAATGAGGCTACCCCAAAATGGATGGTTTATAGTGGAAAGTCCTATTCAAATGCATGATTTAGGGGTACCTTCACTTCAGGAACTTCCATATATTCAAACATTATTTAAATCAACTCCTTGCGATACTTAGATCATGATCATCAATTCTCAACCACTTAAATGACTCCTTCTCTTACGGCCATGCGACATACACTGAAGGGGCAGGCTACTGGCATCTTCTGCCAAGGCTAACGACCGCAGGCGGGTGAGCATCTTGACTTCCCTGGAACGCAGTTGACACCACCAGGTCCCAGGCTCTGCAAAGCAATGGTGTTTGAAACATGAACCGTCTTAACCATTGTCGGTCACTATTAACCATTCAAAACCATTATAAACCACTATAAATCATTATAAGCCACATCTTTTGCTCTCATTCTGTGCACCCGCGAATCGCTTGAGTTTGGAGTAAACAAAGTTGCTGCGAAAGCTCAAGAAACATCTAGCTGCAGAAAGCCGCATGGGCACACAGCGTACTCTTTGGGTGTCTCTGGAAAGGACAACTATGGACGACCTGTCTATGATTTGCCATACTCCAACTGCTTCTCTGCCTCAAAGATCCTCCAAGCCTTTTCTGGACAAAGTCAACTTTTCTGCAGCTTTAACGATTTTAACGGCGTCGCCGCAGTGCCGAGTAGGCTCCAAGACTTTGAGTTCTTAACCAAGTTTGAAAGTCAGGGCTCAAGGATGCAGTTCCTTAAACAAACCGCGATCCTGACCAGCCAAAGTCAATCGCATCTGGCATGTTCTGCCAATCTGCTCCTGCTGAGTATCGCCCACACCTATCACATTCCAAGGCAACCAAACAGAAAACAAATATGTTTTCTAATATTCTCTAAGACTCAAATTGCCAAGAAACTCAAATATTGGTAACAAATGGTAACAAGAATATGACAACAATCTGATAATATTATATTGGACCCTCGGACCCCCCCAGGGGCTGTGATTCGGGCTTTTGTCGGCAGGTTGCTGCACGGCACGTGCTTTGACCAAGGCAAGGCAAAAAAAGTTCAGATGCACAGCACCAGAGACAGAGTATCATTGGACTCTGTCAACAAGACTGGTAATTATTTTTATAGCACCATTCCAATTATTTTTGAAAACACATGTGAACATTTCTCATCAATTTCTCAATTATTTCATAGACATGATTCTGATGATTCTGAATCTGGGATTCCTGGACTGTTGGACTGTGCGCTTCAGTGGATTCGCACCTGAAGTTACCCTGACTTTTTTTATTTCCCCCAACTGGGGGCATCTCGTCTCGCCGCATTCGCATGTCGAAATGCTTAGTGGTTCACGATCATTGGTCCACAGTCAATTCCCGGTGGTAGGCTCGGCCATGTTGGAGCCTTGGCAAACTTGGTCATCTTCCGGGAAGTTTGTGATGATACCCATATGATAAACCCATTGATAAACCATTGATAACCAGTTGGATTTATGATGATTTGGATGGCTATCCTATTTTTGGAGAAACCGATTCAAAATCAGAGGCTTGATTGCGTGGATAGCTCTGAAACGAAATGCCACGGCCCAATCCCAACTGATCGAAATGCATGTTCCGATTCACCAAACCTGCGATGGCCGATGTTTTTAGGCTCCGACGCTTGCTTCCGATAGCAGTTCCTGTTGCGAGTCTTGGAAACATCAGATTTGCACTTAAACTGGCACAACTGGGTGTGTCATGTGTGTCTCAAAATGGAGTATACCGTAGAACATACTAGGGAAATGATGGAAAATGATGATAAACCATCAAATTTGGGGTCACAATCATGCGACAGTCTTTTCTTGAACCAAACTCAGGCATTTCTTAGCATGTTTGGTATGCAATCAGTGGCGAACTTGCAGTGTGCTTCAGGGCCACAAGGCCTTCAGGGACTTTTCTCAAACAAATGAAGGCAATGAACATGAGCGGCAAATTGAAGGGATTTTGTGCGGTATTTCCATCGCTAAACCATGCTAAATCGTGTTTTAACATTCCCATCTAACGTTTTGCAATACATATAATAAATGGTCGGAAAGTACCGATAGTAAAGAACTCCAAAATCCAATGGTCTATCCTCCCTGTGAAAATCACCAAAACTTGCGGTGCAACTTACCGTTACCTTGAAACACCAAGCCCGGCTTCATTCTGTTGAAGTGGGATTCCTCGATACAACATGATCCCCCAGCCTTCGGTATGTCCATAGGCATGAGTGGCTCATTTGGAGCAGCTCGAACCTCGAAATCAGTCCCGAAGTTGGGGTGACGCAAATAGCAGCCCTGTGCCATGTGCATCCATGTGCATGGCGGGGAGAAACTCGTACAAGACATCCACCCTATTGATGTCGATTTTTGGCCCAGCAACAAGCAATGTGCAATCTACTACAAGACTCTGCAGCATTCAGCTAGGACACATGGGGACGGAATCGTGGATCTTCGTGATGGGCCAAACCTGGGCAGTGAAGGTTGCTGGAAGGAACCTAGTTTGATTCTGATCAGGACATTTGTAACTCACAAAGATTCACAAAGCGATGACATGGTAGAGCTGAGCAGATTTTTTCCCCATGAAGATGTACTTGATTCAGTTGCTCCATGTTGCTCCTATCAGGAGGGATGGGAGTCCTATGAAGTATGTAGTTCCAGAATATATAATTATATATACCCTCTGGTAAATTAACATAGACCCTGGCAGATAGGGGTTGGAAGACTAGTTTCCATTAAAAATGGGTGATTTTCAGGGTCTATGTTAATTTACTGGAGGGTATATATATATATATAATTATATATATATACACAAACTCTTCCCACACTGAGAACGATGTGCTCTTCGCCGGACCTTGTTGGGTCCAGGTATCCTCCCAGATTTCTGCAGTTCCAGAAGAAAACCACCTTCCCTCTGAGTGCTTTCTCGTTGCCCCCACTGGGCAACCCTGCCGAAGGCAGAAAAGTGACGCAAATTCGCTGCTCTCCCCTGTCCAGCCAGACTCATAAGATGCTGAAGAGCAGATAGCATCAAATACCAACAGCAACACATGTATCTCACAATAGTTTTTCATGTTTCCTTCATAAACTTCTGGCAAAAATCAACCATTCATTGACCACTCAAATACCTGCCTGCAACGCCGCTGGCACGATGCGCAATCTCTGCTTGTCACCCTGCCTGTTTTCCACGTCGTGGGTTTTTCCGAGTCATTTGGGTCATGGGACCCCTCCGGTCATCTGCCGGCTATGGGGTCCATCCATCGTAAAATGACGGCAACGACAATTCGGGGGATTTAAACCCGTCATCTGGAAGATGACTGGGCAAGCAATAAACAAAATGTGGAGGAAATTGGAGGAATTCTACCAAACATAGGGATTCAACTGTGATTGACAACCAGAAATGGGTATGGTTCAGAATTCGCAATCCCAAGGAATGGAATATGGCTTGGCCAGACTAAGCATGACCACTTCTGCAGATCCAATTGTACCTGATTTCATAGCCATAGCTGGGATAACCGTTTAAGGTAAGGCCTTCTATCCAACAGGATACGTTGGTCTTAAACTTTGACCTAATGCCATAGCCACCATCCAGACCAGGAAAGCTGAGTCATTTGAGTTCCTGACCCGGCGAATGAAAGGCTATCGCACTGGTTTGCAAATTCTGCGGCAGTCGACCTGGTGCCGATCCGGACTGCTGGCAGACTTTCTAGCATTGTAATCATTGTAATGTGTTGTAGCCAGTTGTAGCTTCACATCAAAACTGCTCAGTGACCTGGCAATGGAGCCACGTTCCTCAAGCTTCACTATCTTAATTCAAGACATTTCATGCCAGTCATATCACATCATATCACATCATATCACATCATATCACATTAGATCGCATCATATCACACTACGTGATTGTTTGGAAGGTGTCAAATAGCTGTTGCGCCTAGAAAAAAGTTAATGATGGCGTGGCCCAAATTCTTCTCCTCCGTCAGGCAGGTGCAAATAGGTGCAGCATGGAACCGCCCCAGGGTATTGCTCCACATATCTCAGGCCACAGAATATGCAGAATTGCATCCATTGGTACCCGATTCTCGGCCAGAGTGAAACTCCGCACTTGTGTCTGATTCTTGTCCTGATTGGAATTCCAGGGCAAGTAGAAAAAGTCAAATGCATTGCGCCTCAGGCGATTCTACCATCCTCTACCCATGGGCTGCTGCTCTTCCAACAAGTGCTCTATCAAGTGTGGGAAAAAAGGATAAAGGTTCAATGACTGAAGGATCTCTTACATTCTCTTACTCTGAATGTAGGGTACCATAAAAATCCGTTCAAACATATTTCAAAATCACCAATTTGATCCAGTTTGGGTATCCCCCATTGTGGTATCCCCCCATTGTTGGACGAACCACAGATCCCATCGCGGTCTCAGTTTGCCACACAACCGGGGCCAAGTCTTCCAAGAGGGAGATAAATGCCGCCTGCAGAGAGCATTCTCTGCTGCATTCCAGGATCAAATCAAGTTGGCATCCGGATTTGCCAAAATGTTGCCACATTTACCTCTTCAACTGCTGAGGTATAAATGTACTTTTCGAATGCACGGAAAACACCAAATTGTGCCATGGTCAATCACCGAGGTAGTTAGTAAGACTTAGTAGGTCAAAAGGATACAAGAGTGACCCATGTTGACCTTCCTCTGACTGCGTGCTTGCTTCAGACTTGATTGCCAAGAAAAACCATCATTAAACCGACTTCCACACAACCCGACACTCTGAACCTCACGCAAGAGTTTGCTCGACACAGCTCTGGAAAATTCGAACATATTCGAACCATGAAGGACTTTGACTTCAGATTGTGTCATGGTGACCCGACATGGATTTTGAAGGGAGTAAGTTGGCAAGATGTTGGTGCCTTAAAAACCGACAGTCCACACCCCCAGCGACTCGCCAGTGCGGACCTGCGTTAGAAAGTCCGGAACGTTGAAGATCGTCAAGGTGGTCAAATCCCTGCAGCTTGAAGTCATGTCATGACCGGATTTATAGACTCTGTTGATTGATTGGCAACCTGGGGGGTAACCCCGAAAATAGTGATATGAAATTCGAGCTTAAAATTGGTAACCCCCCTAGTCAACTGGTGGTTTATTGCTCCTGAATTGACGTCATGGCCTCATCCTGCTGTCTTGTTGCGGCACTGGTTCCTGCAGACTTTCGAGTTGCGATTCGTCGCCGAGGAGTCGTCATAACATGATCCATGTACACTTGCCGAAAGGATGCTGGTGCAGTTTTCTTGAACAATTTAAACAGAATACTTGGGAGTCAACAAATCCAAATGTGTACTCAATAAGTGAGGATTAGCACATACTTAGATTTGCAAGCCCACATCCTCACATCTTTCTACCAATTTCCAGCCATTTTACCTGACCCCTGCCATCACGTCCTTCTCATAGTCGGCCTGGGCAATGCAATGATGGGCAGTGACAACAGCATCAACAGCAACCCTGCCTCCTCCCCCGATTCGCTGCCACTGCTATTCCGGTCTGGGCTATTCGCCTCAGGAAACATCACAAACAATGAATCATCGAAGCCAAAGTCACATGCTTTTACTTTCTCACAATTGACACTTCATTTAACACTTCATGCAATCTGCTACTCCTTCTCTGATTCATCCACCATTTACGTCTGGCTTTCTGATGCTTTTTGTGCTCTTTTACATCCTTTAACTTCTCTGCAAGCGACGCACAAACAAAATCAAACAAAGGCGGTTCTGCTGCAATATACATCATCCCGCGGGCATAGTGCAGATTCATGAACCGAAGGTCCTGAGTCCTAAGCTTCACATGGACTAATTCGCCAAGTTGCCCCGACATTCCCAGCGACTGAAGTGTTGGTTTCTGCTCGTGTGCTTGCACTCTGATCTGAATGGCTGTCCATCCTTGGAACATATGCGAAATTCATGAGTTGGACCTGGGTTGCATAGATGGGATGTGATGGGCAGCTACAGGTTGTCAACAGAATGGGGTGCTACATCCAATTAGCACTGCGCTGAATTCTGAGCTTCCCCGCTTCCCCATTCGGACAAGGGCCCTCCGCGAAGTCAGTGTGGCAAAAGAGAGGAATGGATTGTCTAAACATGAGGTACCGCCAAAATCACGTGATCTATCATCATTTTCCCGATTAAAACCGCAATATTGGGGCACCCTTTTTCAGATACACCCAGGCCCGTCATCACCGCTTGAACAGCACACAACACTAATTCCAAGTTGCCGAAGGCCGACAAATTCTGCTCAGTAGAGTTGATGGATTCCACTTAGCCCTGGGCTCCCCTGGACTCCTGCAATCTTGGTTGTCTCTATTATCGATCAAATATGATCAAATCATTTCATGTCCAGGCACCAATTTCATGAGAATCTCGGTCAATTTCCAAGCTTAACTCATCAACCAGGGCTCAGTGGGTCTCAATGGTCTCACCTGTCTTGTGCTTGAACCTGTGCTTGAACCTGGCGGGCTGTGAAATGCGCACGTGCGCAATGGCAATGCTGGCGAACGGAGTATGCAAACAGGGTCAGAAAGATTACAAACCAAAACATCTGTCAAATCTAATCTAATCTAAGCTAATCTAATCTAAGCTAATCTATCTATCCGTCTATCCGTCCATCCGTCCATCCATCCATCCATCCATCCATCCAAGTCTGAATATAACATGTATTGTGCTGTAGGTCAATGACAGGAGGTTGTGTGGCAACAAGGCCAAGTCGTTAGAATCGCGACTTAAACAGATTGGATCTGGTTGGCTCGCAGAGGTCTTCGAAGTGCCCACACATATGGAGCAACATGAGCACTCAAACATGAGGAAGTTAAATTGGTAGCAAGTCCCATGCCAGTGCTCCAAAGTGCTCCTAGCACAGATTTGCCAACGACGAGTACCAAGCTCTATTTTAGATCTTACGTGCATTTGTCTTACGCGCTTTAGATAGATGAAGTAAGCTTGGGTCACAGTTGGTCCACCAAAAAAACTTCGCCGTGGCTCGCCATCGAAAGGGTTGACAGCTGTCCTGCGGTTGCGACGCAACAACCCCATCCACGTCAAATAGGGTGGTTCCTCCATTGCATCATATGGGTGTGGCACCTGAAAATAGCGGATTTCAGCCCAAGATATGGCCATCAACAGATGACTACCCAGTGGATGGAATGGGGCACCATGGGCCACCATATTTCAAAGATTTTCAAAGGCACTGTGGTCATCCCACCATAAGGATGAACAAATATTGGCCGTTATACAACTCCCTATGGTGGTATGACCGTCCCCCAATAGGATTTGATAGAGGTATCGGGTGGTATATAATCCAACTTCGCATATGGGCACAGAAAATGTTCCCTCCAAACCCCACGTTCGCCCACGCCCAAATAACACACTCACCCAAACAATATCATATATTTGTCACCAGAGGATGAATGAAAACACTGGCTATACGCAGCGATTTTGACTATAGGTTTTAATTTAGGCTTTTAGGGTTTTAGATGTTTTAGGTTTTGGAAAGTAAAAAAAACGCCAGCCCTATGCAGGGATTTGAGCATGTCAAAGGATATGCGGGATCCGATGCAGCCAACATGTCTGATTCTGACCCTACTTTGTGGCCCGGTTCTTCGCAGTACATCTCGCAGCAAAGGTGCTGTAATTTCCCCAAACTTTCCATCAAATCAGCCGTGTCGGAATCAACGTGCTTGAACACCCACGAATTCAACTCAATAGCCAAACAAAAATCAAAGACGACATGACGACATGACGACATGATGCGCAATAATGCAGCATGATACAACGCGCAGTGTTCCGTGTGTTTGCTACAAGTCCTTGTAATGCTTGGAGGGCCTTCAGGACAGTCACCGTCTGCACCGTAGGGAGAGTCGCCTGCTCACGAAGCAAAAGTGAATAAAACAGTCAACCTTCACCTAGTGATGAGAAACACAAAAACACAGGCACTGCATCGCATTGCATGAAATGGATCCTGAATATGAATTTCCCTTCCATGGGCTTGGGAAAATCATGGAAAATCCATGATGTTAGCATCCTGAATTTCAATGAATTTCACCCGGCCTCTCCAAAGAAAGGGTCAGACAGGCCGGAGATTGGAGAGAGCGGGGACGATTCAGGTGTGAGGTTGGAGACCGTCAAGCCACGGGATCCAGAGGCTTGAGGTAGTGCCTGCCAGCGCTTCAGCAGGTGGATTCGAGGTCTTCAACCATGGCACATTTTAATGGGGTGCCATGGGGTGCCCGCATGTTTCAGACATATCCACTGGAACATGATAAAAAAAATATATATATATATAATGTGATAAAGTGATATAAAGTGCACGCAGTTTTAGAGCGAACACCTTCGGGACTTTCTGGATTTGGCGGTTTCCTTTTGAATACGTGTATGTAGCTTCTGAAGCAACCATCAGCAACTCATACTTCAGCATGTTTGCCAACCCATCCACACATCACAAACTTCCAACAACTTACAACCTGGACTTGAAAACCCTGACTCCACGAAGCTAAAAAAATGGAGCATATCAAACCATCGCCTCTCTTGAAATAGAACACTGTGTAGAAACTTGAAGGATTCAACTTGCCCGTTCCTGTTAGTCTTAATCATTTTTACACTCATGTCTCATGATAGATTATATATGAAATATGGTATCTATATTATTCTATAATTGCATGATTCTTGATGATTATTGCATATAATATTGTAGAGATCCCGAAAGTGCCTGGACTGGCTTGTCTTTTGGCTTACCAGCATGCAGTTCCTGAGGAGACGTGGCGAAATGTGACGGCATGCAGTTCCTGGGGGAATCACCAAACTCCGGCCATTTTAATAGGGACAATGGTAAAATATGATAATGAACCAATGGATTTACAGATACCCTATTTTCAGACAAACTATCATATGATATGTGTCAGTCCAGCTTGAGAAATGAGAAACGATTCTTCTGGGTATCTTCTTTACAAGCACACATCGAAGCGATGACTTGCAGGACTCAGGAACAAAGAAACACACACCCCATCCACAACTCGCAAGACACCCAAAACTCAACCAAAAAAAACCATCGGAAAGTGCGAAACATCGCTATATGCGGAGTTTTTTGCACCTGCATGGCACATCCGCAATCACAAAACGGAAAATGGGTAAATACATGTAAACACCACGTCCTTTTTATCCTTAGACAAACTATTTTTTCTGCTACTCCAACCCACCTGACCCCCAAATTTGCATTGAAACGCAATTTCATCCCATCGCAGGGACCCTTCACCAAACCATGAATAAGCCCTATTCGTGGCACCTCCAAATTTCACCACCCAAGGCAAGCATCACGTGGCATCACCCTTTCAGGCCCAACCCACACCCCATCCCCTACACTTCGAAAGAAATCTTAGCTACTCGCCTTCGGCTGGCTTTTTTAATCGTTCGTCATTTCTCGATTTCACTTTTTCCCCAACAGCGTAAGCTAACGGGGTCTTCAGCCCAGAATAGCTCCGGTGTGCACTGGTGCAGGCACGGGGTCAGGTTCAACGAGGTTCCGGAGAAGGTTCTGAAGGTTCCCGGGAAGGTCTGGGATTTGGTGCAGAGACAGGTCAGGTTCAACAGGGTTCCGGAAGTCCAGAGAAGGTTCCAGGAAGCCCGGGTGCAAAGCCAAGTCAGGTCCGGAGAAGGTCAGGTCACGTTCAACAGGATCTGGAGAAGGTCTGGGAGGCTTTGGTGCATAGCCAGGTGAGGTTCAACAGGGTTCCGGAGAATGTTCCGGTGAAGGTCTGGGAAGCTTTGGTGCTCAGCCAGGTCAGGGTTCTGGAGAAGGTTCCTGGAGAAGGTCTGCGAGCTTTGCGTGCAGAGCCAGGTCAGGTTCAACAGGGCTCTGGAGAAGGTTCCGGAGAAGCTCTTAGGAAGCCTTGGTGCAAAGCCAAGTCAGGTTCAACGGGTTTCGGAGAAGGTTGCAGAGAAGGTCCCGGAGAAGGTTTTGGGAATCTTTGGCGCAGGGCCAGGTCAGGTTCCAACAGGTTCAAAGGGTTTCCAGCGCTTGGTTTCGCAGCAGGCTTCAGAAAGATTTGTAAAAATAAAACGTTGCGGCTGTTGGGGATACCACCGAAGCTTATTTCTTTTGAACACACAGGCGACTCTGCACAGACTTTACATCTCTTGCTTACAGATCCTGACATATGAACATATATGAGCACTCTAAACGCTGCTCTTCGCTAGTTTGGTTCCCTGTTCAATCGCCAGCCTCTTGGGTGTGAGCAAAGCGACAACTCTTTCCATGCCTCAGGAAGTCGCACAAAACTTGCAATCAGACATACCATCCGGTGTCATCAAACATGGCAATGGGAAATCCCTTGCAAACGGACATTTTAAATCATTTTAGTGGGAAAATAATCTATACATTGGGAATCATTGGGATTGCCAATGGCCGTGTTTGATTACCAAAGGGTACCTATGGCACTGCATTGAGATGTATTGAGTTTCATCCTCATATAGAGCAAAAGAATGGATGAGTGTTGATTGGGGAGAAACAACACCCATGACTAGTACGGAACACAGGATATTCAAATGAAACATCAACAAGCGTTGCGTGAATTGTGCACCCAAAGATTGAAGAATCATGGAATTGTTTCGAACTGTTGCGCAAATATTCGCAGAACTCGTCTTTAAAAAAAGTGCCCACATACCATCGAAAGAAGAGAACTCCGGAGAGTGCAAAAAAAGGGATCTTTATGGATCGTCCTATCTCCGGTCTGTGACATGCAGGTCTAAAACAAACCAAAACCGAGACTGTGACATTGATTCAGAGTGGATCTGGATGAATTTAGTGTTGTGGGCCGCAGAAACTTCGTGCATTGGTACTTTGTGATAAAATACATCAGTGATTCAGCAGGCTGCGCTTACTTTCCGAACATCGCTGACTACTAGAATTCTTGCTATCCACTACCTATCCACTACAAGTGCGGACCCACTACGCATCAGCTACCTATCTACTATGTGAATATATATATATATATACATACAATGTATACAATGTATACAATGTATATAATAATGCATATAATGCATATAATGATGCATATAATGATGCATATCATATAATAATGCATATAATGCATATAATGCATATAGTGCATATAATGCATATAATGCATATAATGTATATATAACGCAACGGAACGGAACGTAACCTATGCAATGCAATGTATGATATGTATGTCTTTAATCATTCCAACTTAGGCAACCTCACAGGAGATTTTGAACGCATAACGCATCAACAATGAGATCTGGAAATGGTGACCAATCCCTGCCTAATCCCGCCTGGCATGGATAACAGGATAACATCTGCTGAGGTTGCAGCTTGCAGCGTCCACTGTCTGCAAACTTGCACAACTTTGTTTTGAAGAAACCCTCTGTGGCGCGAAGCTCCCTGCCGCACATTCACAGTAGGAATGATGTCTTCAAGAACCCGTCACATCCACATTTCATCATTCCCTGTCTCATTTCCAGGTGCACCCCTAGATGTTGGCTAAAACCCTGCACCACAAGAAAGCCATGGTAGACCAAGAAGACCACTGAATCATCTTGATCTTTAGGATTCTTCGCTGAAACCAAAACTGGCTTAAGCCTCTCGTCGTGCGCAAAGGCGCAGCGTGGGTTTGTACAGTTGCCGCGCCTTGGTAGTCAAGTAGGCTCTGTGTCACTTGCATGCACCCTATCAAGTATGAAACAGTCACCTGATGTGGACTTCTTGAAGGGACACGCGCAAACTTCGTGGCCCTTGCTGAACATCTTTCAGGCCCTTCACCTCAGGTGCCTCCCTGTTTCAGTGGAACACCTCTGGAATCTGATAGTTCCAAGATGTTCCAAGAAAGCCAGACTCGGCCCGGCCGTGAAAATTCGCCAGCTGGACGAAAAAAAAGGCAATCCATCCCCTTCCGGGTCCCTTTTTTGAGCGCAAGCTGCGTCAAGAATGCTTTGCACATACTCGTCCGGTTCAAATCTGGCCTCGGCGTAGGACCCACTGCTGGTGCGGCAACGATCACCCACCAAACGTGTTCATAAATGCCTCCAAATCCAGAATCCAGACACTGATTTTGATCAGGTTACCCCTAAAAGGTGACGTGTGATAAATTGATATAAATTGCATGACCTCACTTTTTCACATTGTAGCCCCTATGAAGGCTTGGGATGGCTTGCCGTGTAGCAGAATCCGACCAGGTCACCGTTGCCGGATCTCCGACGGGTGGTGAGCAAAGCTGCAGTCGCTTCCTTTTCCGCACCTGGCGACTGGAGAAAGGCTCTGCAGATGTCTGGGTCCTGGGCCCCTGGGCTATGCCCAATTCATCCCAATTCCTTCCTAATCTTTATCATTCTCTATCTGGTAAGTGGTATCCAATATCCTTGGTCTTAAACTTCCTGGAGGCCCCGCTTCACGACTCGCAGCGGAGTTGTAATCGTGCAAGCCTTCCAGAAGCAAAAAACTTGCACATCTGTGTCTTCTGAAGTTGTTGGGCGTGCCTCAGTTTGTGTGAAAGGTCTTCGAGTGGTTCTAAAGCTTGCTCCACTGCTTGCATTCCGAAATTGTTCTATTTCATACAGAGCTGCAGCGTGGAGTGTCCAACTAATAATAGTTGCACTTCCACTAGGCAAAGAACCATGGTGAAATCTGGATCTGGCTCAAGAATGGGTACAGACCCACAAGCTTGACCAGTTCTAGTGCGAAAACATCCATTATTCTGGGATATTCTGGGATTAATCATTTGAATTCATTTGAATTCATTTGAGCCATACTTAATAGATCTTACTAGTGATGTCTGTTGTATCGCTGCAGCTCTGGACAGCAACAAAATATCTCAGGCTTGGTCTTTTCACGCACGTCCCCGTTCGACATCGTGAGTTGGTTTCCTGGTGAGAAAAGTGGATTGCGGCTGTGTCAATGCACGCAATGGTGAAGAGCTCCGAAATACTCCCCCCCACACACACACACAAACGCACACAAACAAAACAGCGTCGTTCCAGATGTTCCCCTACCATCCCTGTTTTGAATACTTCCTGGTCCAATCTCCTGCCTCGCCAATATTTGGCCTGCAACAGCCAAAATAGTAGCGCGGATGCAAAAAATGCTGCGGGGCACCAACGGTCCTTACCCAGTCGGCTTCAGAAGTGCTCAAGGATTCTTGTCCAAAAGCCACAGATGCAGTGCTGCGTTATGACACGTGCCTTTTTGTAGGATGAAACATACAAAACCAGTACAAAATCGCTCCTTCAAAACATGGATGCAAAAACCTCTGAACCGTTCGCTCTCCTGAGAGCTTGTGCAGTGCGTGCTGCGAAGTCCTAGACGCTGTTTTTTTCAGCACCCAGGCATGTCTTTTGAAACCGGCCATGCTGTACAAGATAATTGTTCCATCCTCGTTCCATCCACGGCAATTCTCGCCGAGCTGGCTGACAAGCACCCATCATCTTGTCATTTCCCGCTTGACCGTCAAGCCAGGTCGGGAAGTGTCTTGTTGCAGTTCCCGGGTTTGAGAAATTCACAGCACCCACCACAGTTGAGTAGTTATTTTCAAGCTGCCTGTGACAAAGCCAAAAGAAACAATGAACGCAATAGGCATGCATGATTCTGAATGTGTATACATATATATATAATTTATATAATTGAATATGAATCCACAACAGTTTACATTACCGCTTCAAAGGTCTTGAGGTGCCATGCGAATGCAAACATGGATGAATTTAAGACTTTCAGCATTTTTCCTATCCCTGCTGTCTTGTCAGCAGGCAATGCAAGGCGTTGATCAAATCACCTCAACTCACTTCACCGTCACCGGTGTAGGAGCGGAGCCATTTGATGCCTTGGATCCCTTCGAGTTGCTTCGGGCCAATGGAGAGGGTGGCCGAACAAGCTTTGGCTTCGCTGCCGGACTCTTAGGCTTGGCCTGGCAAACACGACGAAAAAATAGGCGATTTGAAGACCTGCAGATGTTCTGTCAAGTTCTGTCCATCGAATCCAATGTTAGTAAAGCAATAGGATCCAATAGGATCCAGCATCCCCAAATTTACCATAAATGGGTGCTATAAACCAAAATATGGGTGGCTTATTGTTGCTTTACTATCATTATTGGTTGAGTGGGACCTGGGGACTTAACAGCTGTGTGAATTAGTCCCAAATACTACTCCCTCTCAGGAAACTGAACTCCCTTACGTCACGGGTGCTGTTCCTCACATACAGATCAAACTGAGTCCCCAGCAGTACCGTTGGCGTCCTGTTTGCTGATCATTTTCAAAAGGAATCACTTGATATCAGTTGATACCGCACAAACTTTGCAATCAGCTAGAAACCACAAAAAATTCTACAAGGCTTGCCATGTCCAGCGCCTGAGAGACTGGACCTAAGGGCAAAGGTCCCCAATCATTCAGCTTCAACAGGTCCCTTTGATATGTCTCGCTTCGGGTTGCTTCTTTTATAAATCTGCTTGCAGTAATATCATGTCTTGATCCAGCCGTTTAGAAAGGAGGCTCTATGAAGTTTCATAAGAAATGAAGTTTCACAAGAAACATCTTCCAAATGGGGTCCCAAAAAAGAATTCATCCCAAAACTATCCCAAATTGTTTTTTCAAGGGTGAAAAATGATGGTAAACCATCGGATTTGGGGTATCCATTCGTGTAGTTTTCCGCCCAAATCAGGCACCATCAGCTGTCAAGAGACGAGGCGATGGTGTTTTGACCGTTGGGGTGGCAGTCCCTTTGGATGCTCCCTTGGCCCTCAGCCGCTGAACAACAGAACCACACTGTCCGCTGGATGCTTCAGAATCTTCAGATCAATCCAGCATGTTTTCGTGTCATCTTCATTCCAAACATTCCAAACATTCCTGTCATCATGGATGGTGTACATCTCAGTCATCGTGAACATCGTGAACCCAAGACTCAGGGACTCAGGCTGTGTACTCTGCGAAATGGTGTTGCGGGCAGGCCTTGGTGCCACTGGTGCCACTCATCCATGGGACCCATGGGATTTCTGCCATCGTATTCTCCAGTCCTTGATGGCCATAAATTGGAGTACATCCCCAGGAGGACAGCAATCAAATCAATTCTGATTCATCTAGTTCATATAGTTAGTTAATGTTAGTTATATGCCATTATGATCCATTATGTACCATTCATATCCATTTATCCGTGATAAACATCCATGATTTCTCCGTGATTTCCAGATTCTGCCATGAAATCACCATACAAACTGAGGCTTCCTATGGCATCCATGGCCATGGCCGCGAAAACCTGAGGCCTTGGACGTGGGAGCCGTTGCCACTTTCACTCCTCGTGCCTCGCCCTTGACCTCGCGACTTCGTTGAGTAGGGCCTCGGCCAAACGACCTTTTTGAAGGAGCTTTTTAAAATGATCTATGGACTGATTTATAGATTATAGTATGGAATGGATTATAATATGGACTAACCATAGTTATGATATCTGAGTATAGTTTCTTTTTTTTTCGTAGTTTCTTTATGGATTGGCTATCTTTTTTATTCTTTTTCATGGTCTATGTTAATGTGCTATCCATGAATCTATGTTTTTTTCCTACGAGAGAACCAAACAATGGACTATAACATGGACTATCCATGAAAAAGTGAATGATGTTCATGTCTGAAACAATATGCTGAATATGTATATATATGTATACATCTACATGTATAATATATATATATATATATGATGTATTGTATCTAAATGGTTGGAACCTCTGTCAAGTTAGCTAGTCTTTCCGATATTTTTTTTGTGGAATGAACGTCCATGAGCAACAACTATTTTGGTGTTCACCGGCGATTTGAAGAATTGCTGAATCTATATCTATCTATATACATAATTGTTCATGATTTGCCAGCGCAACATGGACGACTTTGTATGCTCCTGTATGATTAAACACTACAAACAGAACATGCAGGGCACTGCTCCCCCATAAGAGCTGGCCTTTATAAACAGTTCACAGAAACACGCACACGCACACACACACACATCATGGACAAATCAACCGAATTTGAGTAGGCGCTGTGAGCACTTCTTTCAATTGAAAACATATTGAACCCGAATTGAACCCAAGAGAACATACAACTTTCATCAAATCAACTATCATACCAGCAACTTCCCAACAGCTTTCCAAGTGGTCCAAGTTCCTTCCAAACCAAGACCTTGGGAATTTCTCCATCTCCCGCACCGAGGAGCTACGAATCTCTGAGTTGGGTTTGGCCTCGGCGCGGGCCGCGGTCGTGGGCTTCACGGGCTCCTTCACCTGCTACCCGTTGTGCGGACCATTGCGATCCGTCACGGGGGCAACAGCAATGGGCGTTATTAAGGAATTAAGGATTTGCACATAAGAACAAAATTAAGGGGTTAAGAAGTTCATACAAGTACTTTCAAAAGACTCACTTACATTGAAGTTGTTCTACTTTGATATTGTGATTTCAACATTTGAACTGCCTTGGCAAGCTTTCCATGCTGCTTTCCATTGTTCCATTGACTTTTCGCAGCTTCCCGTCCTGTGCCCTGGCCATATGCCGAGCGTTCTTCTCGGCCAGAAACTTCGCCTGCGCGGGGAAGTCCAAGCCATCAACCAACAGCTGCAACCGCTGCAACCGCTGTGCGCCTGTTTGCGCTTTTCCTCAATCTGGCGCGCCTAGCAAGGCGGAAAGATGGCTGAAGTCGGCTGAAGGCAATCAGAACACGTTATGGCATGTTTTGGCCACATCATGAAACTGCATGACATGACTTTGCCTGAGGCTTCCACTCGAAGCACTCGCATGTAAACCATGTATATGAAGAAAATCCGCAACGAGAGATCCAACATGATCCAACTAGTATGGTCTATTTCAGGTGAGGGCACCCCATTTTTGATCTATACCACGTATTGTAGCTTCAGCGTTTTGGTGTTTAAAGCCGTGTGAGCCACAGACAATATTACGCACTATGGCTAATTGACATGGTTCACCTATCAGGATTCCTCCTCATGGGTATCGCAATTCTGGTTTAGTGTTGGATCTATCAATTTTCTTTGGCTCTTTTGACCAAATTTCTGAAGAGACCTGTTGGTATGGTCCTCTCACGCTTTAGAAGGGGCTTCTTCTCACAAGATCTCCCCCACTCTTCTTACTTGGGTTCACCCTGTATATCTCCAACAGTCAGATGCATCGTTTGGCGCTCAGCTACCCATGGGTGATGGACGTGAAGGAAGCAGCAAAAAAAACATTTTTGGACCCATATTTGAGGAACTTGCTTTTGGGGATATGGGATTGTTACCCATTGACAACTGCATGTCCATCTCCTAATATCTCCTATCATGACTCCAAACCCGATGCAATCCGCTACCGCCGCCGCTAATAACCAATGTGACAAACTTGGGTTCAGTACCCCACAAAGTGGATCGGTCACCCAAAAAAAGTCTAAAACGTGACCTTTAAAACCTCCCAAACTTGGATGATTCTCTCCATGGATCCGCAGCGCCTCAATCTCCGCTGTGCTCAGGGCTGGCCGAGTGGCCATGCTGCGCACAACTGGCAATGGGAGCAATGGTTGGCCACAGGTTTTACTCTCTGGTAATGACTAACATAGCTATTGAAAATTGCCATTTATAGTGAGTTTTCCCATTAAAAATGGTGATTTTCCATAGTTATTTTAATTTACCAGAGGGTACACACTATTCAGGTGGTTCTGTGGGAGATCATCCTGGTGTATCCTGGTATTTCTTGGTGTGCCTGCATCATCTTACAGGAGATGACCCACATCTGGGACCCTGGACTGAAAGAAATTGGGAATGCACACTTTGGCCCTTGAAAAAAGGGCCTTGGATTCCAGTCCTGGAGTCCTTGATTTTGGGGCTCCAAAAGCATTGAACTACAATCTCAGTCGTTGAACCGGGATAATCCAGCGCATGCAGTGTGTGTGTGTATATATGTATATATATATATATACATTGTTGTATATATATATATATCGTTGTATATATATATATATATATGTTTCATATTATATATTATTGTACAAGATTGTACATATGGTTATAATTATCACATAATCACATTATACATCATTATACTACACAGAATTATAGCACAACCACCATTTTCGCATTGCCTGGTCTTGGAGAAGGCTTGGACCGTGCCTGGCGAAGCATCCGTGGGCCTAGCCATGGAATGGCTTCATAAAACGATAAGATTGGAGACCTAACCATGAAAAAGGTGTATCATGAGTTATCACAGAGAAAACTCGCATCAAAAAATTGGGCGCCCTATTTTCAGACGAAACAATTTGGATTTGTCTGAAAATAGGTCTCCACCAACATCTGATGATAAGTCAGTATTTTGCCTGTTCAAATTACCTCAACGCCATTTGTACATGGAAAAGACGGGAAGGAGAACTAACTATGTCATAAGCCAGTCCTACATGGGGTAAGCCATGATAACCCCCGGTTTTGTAAATAACTGTCAAGATCCGTGAAGTATACATACATGAGGGATGCGCCATTTGAAGTGCTCCATTTGACAATACTGTCATTCAATATCACCACCATCTATCATGCTGTATTCATAATATGAAATTTATGGTCCCCAAAATTGCATGGCAGCCCGTCACTCACTCGTTTAATGGACATAATTTGGAGCTAAAGCCAACATTTTTTGATCAACCCCCATGTCATCTTGCTGCTTTTATATATCCCATATATCCCATATATCAGACATCCCATCACATTATATCCCCATGAAATATCAAAAAATGATATAACATGCTTTGAGTCCTATCCGATATATCCCCATAACATCCCATAACAATCTTTCCCCCATCTTTAGACTAGGCCCTTTTTAAGAAAACCATCCCTGCCTTGGCTTCCGCGATGCTGGAGCTCTGTGGGGAGCGCTTCACTGGCGGCTTCACCTGCGGCAGTGTGTCAAAACCAATAGTACCCCTGTAGTTCACATCAAAATAGCTGGGATTTATGGATGTGAATAACCCCCTTATTTAATGGTATTTTCATAGCTATTGATCCATAGCCATATCAAAACATATCAAACATCAGCATTCCACGTTTCACGATTTTCGTCAGAGATGACACCCTGTCATTTACGTGTAATCGCCTGAGGAAGGCGAGTCACTCCCGTCAGCAATGTTGGAGCACTCGCGCTGACGGACCTCTCGGAATCCATAAAATCCCATGGGGCCAATGGGGCCATAACTGGGGGTTATGGGGGTCAAATTCACCATTTTCAGAGGTCAAATTCACCATTTTCAGAGCCACTTGTTTTTTTCCCGTTTTTTTTTTTATGTCGTACAAGACTTGTCGAAGAGTGCTGCGCAAAAAAACATTGCTATTGATTTGGCACAAAATGTAGCGTCTTGCGAAGTCCTGGCTTTCCGCGTATTCAGAAGAATCGAAATTGGAATGCTCTGTGTTTTTTTTTCAAACATTGTTGTTCTTAATGATTATATAATCATAGTTCATCAACCATTGATGTCTAATGATTAACCATAGATAAAATGGCCAATTGGTTAATCATAGTTCATTAACCATTCAATTAACCATAGTTCTAATGATTAACCATAGATAAATAATTTACCCATTAATCATAGTTCATTAACCATCAATAAAACCCCTATTTTTTTCATATTTTTTCCATCGCGAAAATTGAGGATCTCCACATTGGTTGGTTGCGCCTCACATCACGGAGGCTGGGGACCTTTGGGGACTTCTGGAGCACCTGGAGAGGCACTGCCGTGATCCCATTTTTTCAGATCAGCAAATCAGCAGATTTTTTTTTCAGATCATATATTATATATATATATGTATATATATATATGTATGTATAATTATATATATATGCCATGTATGTGTGAATATATATATAATATAGATATATATTGATCATATATTCAAATCATCAAACTTGCTAGGGCCTAGGGAATAAAAATGAATAAAACCTCAGGACGTCAAGAAAGGGCCTTGTCTGTGTGAGCTTTCTCCATCTTCTCGACCTTCTCTTTCTGTCCCATGCGTACCTTGGCAAAGGATTGCTGTTCAAATCTGAGGATTGCAGAGGAAACATGATCACAAAGGACAAAACAGGTGGTATGCATAAAATCTCATACTCCCTTTTGTGGGGGCGTGATATGGCGTGGTATTTATTCAGTTTAACACCCAACATGGACAACATGTGGTATTGTTCATGATTGGATTTGCCACAGTCTCCTTGCCAAAGTGCTGGTGCTGGTGGCGCAGTGTGTCGCGGACTGCGCCGCAGAGTCAGTACCTGCAGGACTTGGTTCAGCTCAAAACCAGCATTGGCATATTTGACTATGGATCAATACCTATACATACCATTTTTAGGGGATGAACATCCATTTACCAGCTATTTTGATGTTCACCAAGGGTACAAGGTTTTGACACACTGCCATTTGACATTGATCTCTTGGAATCTTTCTGATACACACACACACAGGGTGTTGATGGGTCATGACGAATGCATCCATGTGATCCATGGTTCCAACATGTTTCAGCACCAAAATCCACGTTGCAAATTCTTCGGTGGGCCTTGGGTGATGCTGATGCCACTTTCTTTTCGGTCTTTTCACTCTTTGCCTTCCGTCTTGGCATTGCCGGATGGGACACATTCCAATCTTGTCTTCAGAAACGCATATGTTCTTCAGAGTCTGGGAATTTCTAACCAAACACACCAGTCAGCTCCATGGTTTATGAAGATATTGCCTATTAAATAACCATAAAATTGACTAATCATTAAATAACCAGTCGATGGTCGGCCTGTCTGGGCGTCAGTGGGAACTTGGGCAAATGCGCTGCCACCACTCGACGCCTTAAGGACGCAGGGATGGGATTTTTTGGACGTATAATATATATATATATGTATGTATGTATATATATATATTATATTATATATATATATAATTTTATATAACCAACTCTATATGATATGGCTGTGTCTGAAATTGATTGAACATGGGCATACTTCATACCCCAGAATGTTGGAGAATGCTATATATGGAAGGGGAATACTAGAAGATTCACCTGTGGATTTGGAGTATATCCATTATTGCAATCTATTTTTGCATATATTGTGAGACCAAGCAATATAACTCCATACCACCTACCATTTCCAAAAAACTATAAGGGCAACAGCTGCGACCATCTTTCCGACAAATTCCCAGTGATAGAGTCTCCTCGAATCACTCCAAAAATGTCTTAAGAAGCTGACATAAAAACACATTCAAATACATGAAAAACATCGTAAAAACCAACTGCAGTTGCCTGAAGACCAGCAATGAAGAGCAAATATTCTCTGGCAATCTAACATGGCTTGCTGAAAAAAATACCGTCTCGATCGTTTTCGATGATTTGTCCATCTAAATGACCATTTAGTGGCCGGGATTTCTCAGACATATTTGATGACGCCGCAAAAGTATCCCAGTGACGAGGACGCCAAGTGCTCAGTCGCCCACACAGCCCAGGTTCCAACCGATGGCATGTGTCGCCATGCTGCTTGAGCTGCCTGACTCACCGGCAGCGGTGCCTGGATCGAATCTGAAATGATGTGAAGTTGAGCAACACAGTCCAATACACATATATATATATTTATATACATGTCTTCATATACTGTATACGTGATTGTATATATGCAAACATATACAATATCAATATATTCTATAATATATCATCTTATCTTATATTATATTATATTATATATATTATATTATATTATATAAAACTACATATTATACATAATAGTTTTTTTTTTTAAACATATATTATATATTACATATTAAATATTATATATTAACAATATTATATTATATTATATATTATATATTATATATTCACAATTATATATTATATATTAGATTAATATATTACATTAATATATTATATATATGTATATATATATAATATATACATCACGTCACGATGCATGTAAGTTTTCCAATGTATTCCATGCAAGCACATGGATGCCATAACCTCTGCAGGACAAGCTCTGCCTCTTTTGGAGGCTCAGGTGCAGCTCCATCCTGCTGCAGTGATGGCAGCTTCTTCCAATCACCATGGATTGTCTACAGGAAGATTCATAGTTAGTGAGAGTTAATGATAGTTCATGGTAGTTGATGATAGTCTTGTTATTGATCAGACATGTTCAGAATATTGGGTAGTGAGTGATAGGCAATGGTTGTTAAATATTGATTAACCTTGGCAGGAAAGACTGGATACAAAGTGATCCCATCAGAAAATGCTGGAAACTGACCAGCCAAGGTACCTACTTCCAGTTTTCCTTCCACATCCTTGCAGCTTGCCGCACCTTACTTTGCTTCGTCATCTTCTCCAACCTTTCAATGGCCAGCAGGGTCGCCGCGCCCAACACCTGCTCTTGGTCCATGGGATCTGGCGCCGATCCCCTGGGCAATGGACGATTCCAAGGGTTGAAGCTTCAAACGCTGCGGCCATGGATGGCCATGGATGGCCATGGATGGCCATGGGCATCTCTATGAACAGTGTATGAACAGTGTCGATGTCATAGGAAAGCTGGACTGCTTAAAAAGTTGTTCATATCACAACATCTAGTGCCCAATAGAATGTCATCACAGCATCTAGTCATCCAGTCACAACTTCTCGTCATCTAGTCATCTAGTCAGGTGCTGCAACCTCTTCTTTGGTTTTTGCTCGAAGGCTCTGGGGAAGCTTTTGCCCCCTGTCATCCGCATTTTGTGAAACTGCGAAGGCGGAGTGTGCCGTCGGAAAATGCAAACAAACTATGGGCACACATCAAAACCAATATTTAATGAATTTCAGTTCTAGGCTGACCACGCCCGGTTTTCCCAAGCTTCATCCTTGACGTGTTGTATCCACTGAAACACTCGTGTTGCCATGACCTTTTTATCATCGGGATGTTTATCAGGATGCCATCGTGCACTTAGCTTCCGAAACAGTTTGGTTTGTTCGGCTTCCGACAAATTGTTGTATTGCTGCAGTTCCTCTTTTAAGCTTTCAACTGCCCTTTTCATCTCCTCATCCATTTGAGCTTCATCAGCCCACTCGGAAAAAGTGAAATCCTCATATCGGTCGTCTCGACCTTCGCGGGACTGCTCGTAGTGAGTGTGCTCCCCTCTGTCTTGCCTTGCGCGGACATCAAATGGATTCTCTCGACGGCTCTTCTTGCACCTCTTGTGGGGAAGTGCGCCGGCTTTCTCTAACAGGGGGATGATGTCTGCGCGATGGTACAACTTGGCTTGGTCCAGGGCTGTATAGCACGGCCGCAAGCAGTCACCACCTATGCCTCTGGGGTTCCACTCATGGCATACTACGTTCAAGCTGCCCTGCCCAACCCGAACAAACTCAAGGATGGTCTCCACCACTGAAAGCCAGCCCGCTTGTATGGCTGCAATTAGAGCAGTTCGTTCCTCTGCAAAGCCGCAATCGGTACGGGTGAAAATGCCAGACTTCCCACTTCCAATGCAGCCAAACTCCGACACAATGGTATCACAATGGCAGCCGCAGTTCAAAACTAAGTGTTTGACCTCCGAAACCATGCCGTTTCTGGCAGCTTCTATTAATTTTCGTCCCACATCGCTTTCAGGGGGTTTCCCTTCACATTCATACGTCTGCCAAGAACGCAAGGTGTAACAATGATAATCAAATAAGTCTTTGTCAATGTCCCGCTCGGCCTCAAAGCTATGTTCTGTCACAAGCACTTGGTTTTCACGGTCCAGCAGGTCAGCCAAATGCTTGGCCACGGGAAAGTCGTGGAAGTGATGCTGCTTGAAATCTCTGATGGACCTCCTCACCAAAATTCGTTCTCCTGAATCATCTTCTCCCAGTTGCCCCACATTTGCAGAACAAGCATATATCTGCCAGCAACTCGTAAAGGAGTAGAACAAGTTTTTCTCCAAGTCCTTTCGAGTTTTCAAGGTTTTCGCCCGTGCCAAACCCACAGGCAAGCCAGTTGTATCATGGGGTCGTGCTACTAACATCTTGGTCTCCATGTAATGACCAGGTGCACCTGTCCTGTTGCAACGAATGGACCTGTTCAAAAGAGGCTCCTCTGTTCGCGCTATCCCATTGGTTTGGTATATCACCGGTGTACCATCGTCCAAACAACCAAAGGAACCCTCTTCTTGGGATGAACCGATTTCATCACCGGCACTTCCTAGTTTCAAACAAGGGTGCAGTTGGACCTTTCCCTCTGGTGTGCTCAAGAATTTGTTGAATTTCCGATGCGTTGATTGGAGAACAAATTGAGCAACATACAACTCACCTTCTGCACGTCGAAGCGGACGAGCCATTCGTAAATCTGAAACAGTGGGCACTGCCAACATCAATTGGAGTTTGCTTAAATCCGTAATCGCTTCATCCAGGGATCGTGGCGGTGTCTGTGTCACCTTGGCAGTTTCTCTGCTAAGCGTCTTCGGTACCTGCGGTACCGGGTAGCCATTGGGTCGCAGAGATTTTGGTGCCGCCATGGCCAGGCGTAAAGGGAATCTACTTCAAATCCTTCCAACGAATACCTGGTGACCTGAGATTGCCAAGACCATACCAAATCACTTTCATCAAACATGTTACCACTGTTGTGAAAACATGTGAAACCTATTTTGACATATTTTGGCAACAGAAGCAGGCATCAAGAACAATGCCACCTGGCACTAAACAATTGTACCAACTTTACGTTTTAAGCATTTTTCATTGTATCTTTGGTATACATTATACATGTACAAACATACGTTGCTCAGCACTGTGCAACCCGCTGAATTGCTACAAGCGCTGCGCAAACATCGTCTGAGTTCATTGCTGCGTGAACACAACATTCCAAGGCACTCGTTGGGTGAACTCTGCTGTCACGGCCAAAGCACTATCACTTGTTGAACAAAATATTACTTTTTTTTTGTGAGGAAAATTGGTGCAAGTACAGTGTGCTCCCAAATTAATTTTTTGAATTAACATAGTGTAATTTCAAAAGAAACGTTTTACACAGAGTGCATGTGTGACTTGAATGGAACCTTCCAACCATTCTACATATCATGTCTGACTATGATAATTCATTGTTCCCAAGTGATGCTATTTTGTTTGAGAAAAGACGAATTTGTACGCAATGTTACACTTGCTTGGTAACAACCATAACAAGAGTCAAAAAACACTACCAATAATAATGTGTATAATCATTATACTACTGTTTAAACATGTTTCCAACATACCGACTAATGAGGATAACGATGGTGGTAAAAACAATTGCCCCTGGATCAGTTCGTGTGGAAACCCACAAATTTCAGAAACATAGCAGTATGATGCAATGGGGCCATGGACCCACTGAATGACAATGTACAAGACCGCTTTTACACTCGTTAACTCCTTGCAATCCGCAGGACTGCAAAGTGCCTGCTTTGTTTTAAGGACACTCCCAAGCATTGCTGGTGGTCCCCCATTTCATCATTTGACCAAAGTGATACACTGCTGCTTGGGGGCTTCCCTTACCCAGGGGCTTCACATTCCACTGTGAGATTACCAGGCTCGGTGACCGATCCTTCTATGTACAACAAAGCATAGGCTGTGATCTAGTGAAACATCTACATAGTCAGCCCGCACGAGCTTCTCTCATTGGTGAAGCCTGAGTATCAACCGCATCAACCGCATCAACCCCAGCGGAAGTAGGCGCCTCTTTATGAATGTCCAACATGTCGGCATGAAATGTGTGAACCATATCAACCAAGAGTATTGTATTGTATGGGTATGCAGGGATTGCGTGGGAATACTGTGGGTATATGCAGGGATTACTGCACTTACAATCTGGACCTGTCGTACCAACGACGTGAGGGCGGACATCAGGAGCATATACTGTGGTACTATGAAGCCCAATCTACTAGGATTTATTCACACTAAACCTAAACCATAATGACCATTTCCAAATTGTTTTGTTTTCCATGGGGTTTACCACAACCCTGAGCATCTGGCCTGAAGCGCACGCTGTTGAACTCGCTGGAGGGCGGCATAGCCTCGCTCCATCCGCACATCCTCGTCTTCCCGCTGTTTTGCCTCGGGTTCCAGGCAAAATCAGGGAACATCCACTGGAAATCCCATGGAAATTCATGGGAAAACCGGTGAATACCGGTGAAACCCATGGTTTTACTGGTGATTTTTTTCCTTAAGCCCATCCGTTGATGAATGGATGCAATGATGAAGCTGTAGCAATCTGGGAAATGATTAATATGAATGGCACGCGTCCCATTTTGGTTTTCCCAAAATATAAGGTAACCCAGTTTCCCGTGGTTCAGAACATCATTTTCCCCATCAGAAAATATCAAAACATAGCCACAAGTGGGATTATCCGATTTTCGAACAAATCCACCTAATATGGGTCTGAAGAAAAGGATACCCCAAAATTCAATCAAAATCCCACAGGTTTTCACCATTTTCCGAAACAAAATTGCCACTTGCGAGCAAAGGCCTCCACATCCTCTGCTCGAAGCCGAAGCTGCTCAGCATATCCTGGCAAAGGCTTTTGGTGAAGGAACCGCGTCCTTGGTGGGTCAGCAAAATAGAATTTAATGGATTTTAATGGTATGTTAATGGTACACTAATGGATCTTAGCAAATATATGAGCGAATGTCATCAAATATCATCTAACTTCAGACTTCCCAAGCAGAAAATATGGAGATTGTGGACGGACCTCAATAGACTTGTAAGACTTTTCCCACTGCCATCTTCACTCCAATGGATCCATGTGTCATGGCATCTGCACGATAGACTTAGTGCACCTGTTTCTGTTGTCTCATGCTGCAGTTCCTCTGTCTTGGACCCCTCTTAGTAGCCATGATGAAGATCTCCAGTCTGCCCAGTCAAATCTCCAAGGGTTCCAACCGATGCCCCAAACCCTGCGCCTTTGGTACCAGGCGCAGGACGATTTTTAGCACAGGCTTTGGCTGAGCTTTGCCCGCGAGCTGCTTTCAGAGCTTCCAGGTAATGTTCTGCCGAATTCACCTTGTTGCTGACAGCAAAGGTTCAACTTCCTGTGTTGATCACATTGGCCATCTGGGTGTCAAAACCCATGGAACCCCTTCTGTTCATATCAAATAGCTGGTATTTATGAATGTTTTTTCTCCAAAGTTGTGGTATTTAACAGGTTTTGACCCATCCCTATCTTGGTAGTATATTGTTACCATGGTTTAGAAGCCCTTCACCAGTGCCTGGATCGCCTTCTGCTTCCATGGTTTTGGTGACTTTGCTCCTATGCCAAGGCTGAGATTGGGCGTGGAAGGCTCTGGTAAAAATATACCTCTGGTAAATTTTAGACTTCAATCAAGCTATCTATCTTCCTCCCATCCTATCCATCCCACAAGTTGCAAGTTGCCAACTCTCCTGGCGATGACGGAGCTGAGGCTTCATCCAGACTTGGAGCTTTTGCAGCGACTTGAGGTGCGAATCTGTGGCGAAATCGCTGAAACCACCAAAGTTTGGGACGGGAAGTTGTGCAGGGGAAACCGTGATGACATGGTGCAAATTGGTAAGAAATGCAATCCCGGTCGGAAAAGGGCAGGAAAACTATTTGGATAGATCTATTCAGTGGACATTTTCATCATTTTCTCAAATACGATAAAAGTGTAGCAGTTCAATAGCAACTCACATCTCCCCACAGTTTCCAAGGCTACCATCCGTGTTTGCTGTGAAAAATCACCATTTCCAAGAGGCTAATCCCAATTCTTTCCATCAAAGCCCTCTTTTTCATTCTTTTTCCCCATAAAAACCAGCCATTTGCTGATGTTAAACCACCATATAACCACCATTTAAGGCCTACCATTCCAGCTGTTTCCGCCTTGGGTTCTCAGGATACGCTGTGACCTCCTCGACAAAGTCGCTGGGTTCATCCCAATGGTCAGCAGGAGTTGAAGCGCGACTCGCATCACCACTGTCTGCACCTTGGAGGATTTGCCAACATGGGGATGGGTCAAAACCCTATCCCCCTGTAGTTCACATCAAAATAGCTGGTAAATGGATGTTCATCCCCCCAAAAATGGTATGTATAGGTATTGATCCATAGCCACATTAATATCCCACCTCTTCATTCATCTTCATTCGTCTCAGGAATATACACATGAGGATTGAATTGGATAAATGATGATAAATGTGTATATAAACATATATAAAAATACGGGATACCCATGAATAGCCATTCTGTTAGGGAAACTGATGATAATCCGATACAGTATGGGATACCCTGTTTTCAGAAATCAGCGCCTGCGGATCTCTCGATGGGCTTTGGCCGGACCGGCGGCTGGCTCACTGCCCTTGTCAGTCTCTGCAACGGCACCTAGGGCGACAGACGTGCCCTTTTTGGATTTCCAAGTGCCAAGTCGTCACTCCACAGAGTATGATGGATTTGTATGGATTTGTGGCTCTAAGGTCACTAAATCAATCGCCAATCAATGTGAAAACTTGAGATCATTTCGAAGGATGAAAAACCAAACTCTTCATGAAGCAGGGCAACAATAAATATCTCTTGAGGCTATCCAATGTGGCTATGGGTCAACACCCTGGTGGTGAATTCGCAAATAGCTGCTATAGCCTGGTGCCGCCGGGGCCTTCTTTGGTGGATCATGAGTCGGCTTCGGCGGCTTTGGCCTTAGGATGAGCGTTTCAAAGATTTTGGGGTCCTCAAAAATGACACAAAATTTCAAAACTTTGGATACTTAGCAAAGGATTGAACATTTATTCATAGTATTTAATAGTCCATTCGATGGTATATAGATAAACTTGGTGGGTTCAAGTGTCCACGACTTAGTTCCTAGACACAGTCACGCACATTAAAAAATAAATTACGTTGATAGAAAATAATCCACATTCCGTGGATCGAAGCAAAAGAACGACACATATTGCGACAAACAGAGCCAGCTGGCAGTCTCGTGGGGTTTCTGTCAGGCAAGTCTGAGCAAAACTTAAGCCATGAAAAACACCCCTATCCCATCCCATTATATGGGTTGGCAAAATGGGTAGCCCGTTCATTTTGGGTTGTCACAATCCCCGTTCAAAATCCCCATTAAACAACCCATCCACCATCATTTATCAACTATCCCGATATATTAATGTGTCATAGGTATAACATGTCATAACATGTCATAACATGTTATAAATTAGGCCCTATAAATCCCGGTGAAATCCCCATTGTTTGCACAGCAGCGGTCACATCTCGATTGGCCACCGAGGACCTGAGAGTCTCACCGAGGACCTTCGTCACCGGGATCCACGATGGACCACACGGGACACTTCGGAGTGCTCGCGCGGCTGCTCTCTGCACTTCGACCTGCGTAATGCGGTGACAATATCATGACATGAAATGATATACATACGTGCATAGAATACTATAATATATAAAAATATGTATATATATAATATTATATATAATATGATATATGATATATCATATATGATATATGATATATGATATAATGTACACTATATAATATATAGTGTATAATATAATATATAATATAATATATATAATATATAATATATTATATATGATATATAATATATTATATATTATATAATATATATAACATAACATAACATATATAATATAATAATATATAATATATTATATATTATATAATATATATAACATAACATATATAATATAATAATATATAATATAATATAATATAATATATATAATATAGTATAATATAATATAATATAATATATATAATATAGTATAATATAATATAATATAATATAATAATATAATATAATATAATATATATATATTAATATTAATATAATATACGTATATTAATAATTATTAATATACATATAATATAATTGATACAAACATCACATCTCAATAAAGTCTGAGTTCACTCAGATAGGTTTGTTTTGCCAAATGTCTTGTAACATCTTGTAACCATGTAAAGAAAGTGTTTGTTCGATCATCTTCATACACTTTCGATACAAACCTCTGAGCTGCGCCTCCAAAATGGTCAACAGATTGTCGAGGAGCAGGCCTGGAAGAAACCAGCATTGAAATGGGAACATCATCGAACTATATCGAGCTAAATGGGGGAGTTTCCAGCAAACCATGGAGCTGATCAAAGTGACGAATAAAAATCACCATGTTTCAATATTTCCAATAGTTAGACCTCCATATTTTTGCGGCTTAACCTCAACTTTCGTTGCTTAAATCTCCATTTTTGGTGGGTTAAACCGCTATTTCCGGTTGGTTCAACCTCCATTTTTGGCTGGTTAAACCCGTCCTGGCCAAAGGCGGATGGCTGGATGCCCTGGAGGACATATCTGAACGCAAGGGTGTGGCTGGACCGCGTGCCTCGGTGACTTCTTCGGAAAATCGACCGGGAAACCCATGGGTTTTTACCCCCCCAAAATATATCACCAAATATACCAAATATCAGTGTTTCCTGCAGATTTTCGCTTCAACCAATTCTGGGACTCTGGAAATACTGTACGTAACTTAGTTTTGCTGTGGAAAATCACCATGAAGACGTGAATTCCAACGCCCCTGGACATCCTGAGACTTGGACCAGCTCGGCTCTCCACTGGCGCTTCCGTTGGCGTTCCAGCTGAGCCTCAACAGTTCGCCATGGAAGCCATGGCCCATTTATAGATGGTAAAATCCATGGCTATGTGGGTAAACATGGTAAAACCACAATCAACCAGCAAGTACCAGCCATATGTTGATGGTTTATGATGGTTTATAGATTTTATAGCACCCATAAAAATGGTGATTTTGGGGATGGTTTATTGAATTTTCCCACATTAAGATCATTGATGATGTCTCATCATATCAATCCAAGATGGAAATGACAAATCCATTGAAAATCATTGAAATATATTGAAATCCACGTCTTAGTTACAAAGGTCATCTTCATCAGCCCGAAACCATTCATCCAGGATCCAAGCCCACTGAGGACCCCGACAACTTCTGCAAGTTCCTGCTGTCTCACATGCTGCTCTTCTTGGAGAATCGCACGAGCCTCCGGGTCTCAGTTGTGGTTGCTGGTTTCAGCCCAGGAAACATCCAACTACCCATAACCAGCGGTGATGTATGGCACATCGAAAACCACCAGATTACACTGATTACACAATCCTCCAAAAACCAGTAAGAGTTCACAAAGAGTCATAAAGAAGTTTGCTATAAAGTATGGAATCAACCACTCGAAGTTTCCGTTTGATAGAGGTATGCGCCTTGTTCCAACACTGCTAATTACTTGCACAACTTTTGCCGTTACAGTACTGGCCAAAATATGCCAAAATGGGCATGGAAACCCTTGAATAGGGTAAATCGAATAGTAGTTGTATACACCATTTTCAGGTACCACACCACACCCAAATCTCAAAAATACTTGCTTACATGTCCCATTGCATCCCCATTCACTATCAACCTTACATCACCACTATATCCCATTATATCATATTATATCCCCGTTGCATTACCAATTATTGTACCATTAATTTATCACTTAATCACCATTGAAAACGGCTGGTTTATCCCTTGTAAAATCTGCCTGCCTTCTCCTCACTCCGCTCGCGGTGTCTGAACTCCGCCGCGCGTGCTTTGGCTCGTTCTTGGCTTCGAATCGCCTGGAAGGCGGCAAGTTCGGAGAAAGTGGGGCGTGGGCGGTTCCCATGGGTTTCAGGTCTTGGCTGGGATTTCCATGGATTTCCTACCTATTTTAAGGTGTTCCTATTTCTATCTATTTCTGCTTCCTACCCATTTTGACAGTGATACAGAGTATTTGGAGACACGAGAATCCTCGAAACAGAACTGTCTCCAACAATATGCGAGCGAGGGCGGTTCCTGGCCTGCATGATTCTCTCATCCGCAACCTGCTCGCATGCCACGATGCTACAGTATGCTACAGTCATGTCATGCAAGCCATCATTTTTAAGTTTTGGAGCTTCTGCGTTTAGCCTAGACAGAGTCTTACTCTGGCAAAAAAAAACGGCAATCTTGCGAAGAATCGCCAGAGCAGACGCGGACACTTGCCTGTGCTTCTTCTTCAATCCTCTTCCGTCGAGCCTGACATGTCCGCTTCAAGCTGAAGAACACAAGGGGGCCGATGCAAAGTTGAGCAACAAGTTGACCAGCTAAATGGGTTTGCCTGAAAATAGGGTACCCCTCAATCCATTGGTTAATCATCATTACCCCCATTAGTTGATGGCCAGAAATGGAAGGCCTGAAAAAATTCCCCATTTTCAGACACGCTGCTATATCATATTGGTTGTTGTGTATATATCACACTATATCCGCAGTTTTACTCCATTATATCACCATATATCATCATTTATATAATATCTCTGTGCTGGCGCTCATGGCATCTCATGGTACACTTGTCTGGCCTCCTGTTCAGCCATTGACTGATCACGCTGCTGACGTGTGTATTGCTGCATCCTTCGACGCGTCTTCTGCCGCCTCGGAAATAAAATAAATATCCAATTAAATATCCCAGTCAGTAGCTGGGTAGTTATGATATTATCCGGTTTTACAAGTGGACTAAGGCTCACCATTGTCTTTGTTTGGATCTGATCAGAGCGGCATTGCAACATAAACAAGAAGGTCTGATATGAAGAAAACATCCACATTTTATCTCTGTCGCTGATCTTTGCCAGCTCCCGGCTGGTGCGAGTCGTCAGAAGCACTTTCGCTTCTTGACCGGCTGAGTCGTTGCTTTTTCCCGAAAGAGGTCCTGGACAACCTTGGGGAATTTCCCCTTCCCCAGCTGGTCCTGAATGGCAGCATTTTCAGACCCAAACCTCTGGCAAGCTTTCTTCAGCTGGTCCAAGCCCTTCAGGGCTGCGTGCTCTGCAATCGCAGCGAAACTCGCTTCTGCGATCAGGCCCTCTATGAAATCTGCAAGAACTTCTACAACCACATCCACTTGCCATCGGTGAGCCAAATCCAATGCTGACAGTGCAGTCTGGTAGTCTGGATCACCCTGTGAGGAGCATGTGTAGAGTGTTTCCAAGAACAGTGTTACTGCGCTGCAACTGGTGTCTTTCAGCCGGATTCGTTTGGTCTGGCGTTCTTGCATGGGCGATGCCAACATGGCTTGGACCACTGGAGATGCCTCCATAAGCATGTGCGTGTGAGCAGTCACATGTCCATCGGCAGCTTCGATGTCCAGGTCATGAGAATCTTTCGCATGTAAAAACTTCTCCCACATATCCACGATGCCTTCATGGACAGCTGATCTATTCCCACGCTGCAACTGGCCTGAGGCTTTTGCAATCCTGTCTATGACTTTGGCGAGGAAATCAAACCTATGTTTCCACTCCGGTTTCCCGTGCAAGGCCTCTCGCCAAGCGTTGATGTAGGACATGAGTGAATGCCCCCGGTAATCCACTGAGATTGTGGTGTTAGCTTTGTCGTTGGTTTTCCACAATTGGGATGAAATGGTAGAGTTTCCGCACTTTTGTGATGTACTGGCCCCTGACTTAATGAGCCACTCCAGCAGGTCAAGAATTTGGTCCTCGTTTCGTCCATCAACTGGGAATCTGCAAGCTCTGACGAGGATTGTGGTCTTCTCCTGAGGATGGAGTATGTTCCAAGAGAAATTCTTTGGGATGCTGCTTCTCACTTCATCATACTTTGAGAGATCCAGCAAGGTCCAGAAGAGCTCCAAATAGTCACTCGACATCCAACACACAATGCTACTAGTAGCCTTTCAGCACTTGAGCCATGCTCTGGAGATAGAGATCAGTCAGTTGCCTTGCTCTCAATCAAACCACCAAACCAGCCATGAACAAACTTGTGTCGGACATGCATTATCCATCCAATCTGAGACTTCAGGCCCTGCATCCCTCACTTTGTCTCTAGGCTTCTCACAACTCTTCAGCGCGAGCTTGGTTTTCTTGCGCCTGCTGTCTTTTTGCCTGGTGCCAAGATAGCTAACCTCCCCGTTGAGGCTCCAGAGGTAACAAACTAACCACCAACAACACCATTCTATATTTAAATTCGTTTGCAAGTCCGCAAGTGTCACGCCATGCAAATGCCTGTTTCCGGTAGTCCAAGTCTATATTTACTGTATGCAAGTAACGAGCAAGCCAGTCAATCAAACTACCTATCAAACGCAAACAAACGCAAACCATGTCAGAAATTCAAAATAGTTGCGGTCCAAGCGCTTGTATGGTATCCAAAGCACAAAACTGTCTAGAATTCTGAGAACCTTTCCTGTGGATATTGACTCTCTACAACACTTAGTTAAGAAATGTTAAAGAACACCAACAAAAATCCACCGGATTATCATCCTTTTCCGTTTCCTTACTAAGGTGGCAATTTTGAGATAGACCCATCCAAGCTATCTTCAAGCGCACCTCAGCCTCGGCACGAGCGAGCTCATCGGCCATGTGCTTGTCGGCTTGTTCCTGACACATCGACGATGAGCATTGCCGTTGAAGAACCAGCATCTCCACCATGGAACAACTGCTGAGAACATCTGCTGAAAGGTTGCAAAGAGAATCAAAGAGACATGTTGGCCGAGGATTTTTAGCATTTCGGAATCAAATCGCTCCTTGTCAGCCAGTCTCTTCAAGGCTTGTTGCTGTAGCTCCTGATCCCAAAGCTTCGACGTTTCGGCGAAGTCTCAAGCCTCACGGTGTCCCTTTGACAGTACAGAATATGCCACATCTGTCCCATCCCGAATGTAGGGCCGGTATTCTGGTGGAAATGGGCCATATATGGCCATATATCATCATATATCACAGTCACTTATTATAGAAGCAATCCCATAACAATCCCACAAACTGACTGTCTGGCTAGCTGGATTTCACTACAGGGATGGACAAGCAGCAGCTCTCCTCAGCAACTTGTCGTGATCGCTGTTCTTTGATCTCGGCCTCACCTCAAACGGTTGCGCCGCACGCGTGATTTGGTGCTACTTGGGAGTTCAGGGGTCTGGACTTGCTCTGTGAATCTCTTTTGTGGCCCCAAAACTTCCTATCCTCCTACATGTGGTGTCCCCCAGTTATCAGTTTCATAGGTTCTAAGTTGGTTTATAAAGCACGCCACAAACTGTAGATATCATCATAATTCATCATACATCTACCATAAACCCTAGTTGGCCTAGTTTATAACATTTTATAACCACCTTGGCTAACTATTGGGCAACACCTTGTAGACCTCGCTTCAGCTTGGCATCTGACGTTCCATGTCCTCTTGGAGCTGCCGCTCCCGAGCTCGCTCGGAACGGAGGCGCTCCTCGAGGCGTGGGCTGCGACTTGGTTTCTCCAACCCTTGTGATTTGGCAAAGCTCATGGCAATGGATGTTCGTGAAAAGTCAATCATTTTCATGGATATTCGATGATATTCATGAATATTCATGGAAATATAAGGATCAAATGCGACATCGAAGAGGACGTGTCTGTCACTTCTACGGTCCCTTTCGATTTCTAGTCAGTACCTGAACAGCAACTCGAAAGCACAGCCCTTCTAGAGAATGTGCACACAGCAGCTCCACTCCTGGAGTCGCTCTTTGGTTTGTCGTTCAAGCTCTTTGGCTTTCGCTTCAGCTTCTGCCTCAGGACGTGTCAGAGGTGCTGGCTCCAGAACACATTCCACAGCTTCGACTATATGAATTTTTCTGATCTATGTGCAGTAAGGAGGCCAAGCTGCAATGTTTAAGTACTATATGGCAGTGGGTCAAAACCTTGTACCCCTGGTGAACATCAAAATAGCTGGTAAATGGATGTGAATAACCCCCTAAAAATGGTATTAATAGGTATTGATCCATACCCATATGATTATATTCAGTAAGAAGGACAATCCCTGAACTTCCCAGTCCTCACCTGCCGCAAACGCTTTTCTTCCACCTCCTTGCGTTGTCGATCACGCTTTTCCTGTCGTAAACAACACTGACAAACACTGATCATGAAAGCAACAAGAACACTCACACATCATAAATCAACATCCATTTTCTGGATAGCATCATCACACTTTTATCCAGAATTCAGGCAAGTTGATGAATGGGAAAAATAAGCAATGGGAGCGTTTCATGAGAACGAGATTTCCCTCTTGAAAGAATTGAGATGAATTCAGCATGTGTCTGATTTAACAAACTATTGCCAAGTGGTCCTTGGCTTCTTGCCTTTTGCGAGCTTTCACTCTGGCTTCGGCCTGCAGCCATGCATCTCTCCATCCAAACTGCATGGTACAGTATCTCAATGCAAACTTTTCAGACACCAACTTCGCAGCAACTGTTGTTCTTAATCTCTTTTAATCATGCTTTTGTGACAAACTGAAACCTGGTTGATGCCTGCTCCTCGCCAATTTCTTTTCACGTCAGGAACAGGTGAACGCTTGATTTGCTCAAACGTCCAATAGTAATGCACAAAAACGCGTGGAAAGCAAATTTCATCCACCTGCTGCTGCAAGTCCCCTTCCGGAAGATCCTGTAGCGATTGTCAGGGCACCATCGAAAACATTCTTCTTGTGATTTCCAGAGGTTTCCCCTGTCCTGCCAATATATACCTTTGTCTGAAAATAGCGCACTTCCAAAATCCAATGGTTGATCGGTTGATCATCAATTTTCCTCGTAAAACTATGTAAATTTCGGGAGGTGAACCCCTTTTTCAGACCCAAAACATCATACAATTGGCGGTTCTACATCCCATTAATTGCCATTATATCTTATTTATCCCCATTATAGTTGGCTTCCCCCGTACTAACCCATTGTCACCGTAACAGCACGGACCTCAACGTCTCTACCACCACGGACGTTTTTGGCTCCGTCCTTCTTGGGCTCCGTGGACTGGGAGATCTGACCATCTTCGGAGCCAGATTCGGCCTGGGAAGCATCAGCTGGTTGGTGGTTGAGCCCTACCCCTCTGAAAAATATGACTTCGTCAGTTGGGATGATGACATTCCCAATATGATGGGAAAAATAAATTTCATGTTCCAAACCACCAACCAGTTTATAGATAGCAGCTGCACCGGGAAACCGCTGCAGGGTTCGCAGCCTGCCTCTTTTGCTGCAGCCTCTGCCAGTTGCTCCGCAGCTTGAGCCGCTCGCTTGGCAGCTGCTGCCACGGTTTTCGCCTCGGCGGATGGGGGAACCCCTTCAGCGCATTTCAGCGCTCAACATCATGGGACGTTCTTACAGGAAACCATGGTTGTTACCAACCATTTTTTTTTGGTATATGTTTTTTGTATGGGAGATCAGGCCTCTTTGAGCTGCACTTCTAAGGTATCGATTTCCTCCATCTTCTGACGCCGCTCCTGCCAGATTTTCAAGACTGAAAGCTCCAGCCTTTCCGGATGTTTTGACCAATATGGGTTTGGTCCCTCAAAGTAGGGAGATTTACTGACCATTGTTTTTGCCATATTTCATACAGCTTTCGTGATGATACGTGCTGATCAACCAGTGGATCTTAGATGGATTTTTAGGGGTATCATCATTGTTTACCCCATTTTTGGATGTGGTAAACCCCACTTTTCGTGGGTTTTTTATGGTTTTTTCACTCCCGACTTCCACCCCCAGTTTTGGACGTTGAGCCACATCACCAAAGAGGTGTGAAATTCACCACGCTCCTCCTCATCAAGGACCGCTGGTGCCGGTGGCCGCTTCATCCGTGGGGGCCCACCCTGGCATGGTTGGGGTTGGTAGACATTGATGGTGAAAGGTTGGTGGGTATAAACGATTATAAGATGGTTGATATAAAATAATGTCAAATAATATAAAATATGTAGATGATCTTGGTGTACGATTTTCTTTCCAAATCTCTGGCCATCGTACGACGATTGTTGTAGTGGTGGAAGGGGCCCTTTCAATGCGGCGATTTGTTGATTACAAACCCAGCCTTTCTGAAAGAAGGATGTTTCATCTTCTCCTTCCATTCTTGTTGAAGGCCACCTGCAGAGTGGACCGACTCAGCCAGCGAGTCGAAAATCAAGTAGAAACCAACATCCCAAGATGTTCAAGTGCCTGTTTGATCAATGCTCTTTCACATATTATCATCGATGCAATCACTGAACCTTTCCAGTTGGACGAATCACATCCACACCTCTTTATTGTGGAACATGTGACAACTGGCCAGGAGCACTCAACTCGGACACTGCTGAAAGGATGCCCTTGTCTTCGAGGCTAGAAAATTGCTCCTGGTCCGGCACCGCTGCCAACAATAAAAAACATACAAAACTACAAGGTGACTCAAACATCTCAAACCATTCTGGAGAAAAAGGGGTCACACTTTCATGATCTTAGAATGATTATGTCAATTCCCTTGATCATATCAATCGAAAACCACCGGATTTTCTCGCTATCATTGGTTAAATCTTCATTTTGGATATATATTGACCTATCTTGACCTAGCATTGATACCCCAATCATCCCCAAGCACCATAGAGTTGGAACCACCATGACCCCAGTCCACCTCCTGGTGCTGCTCATGAATGGTCATCTCTGTGGGACCTGGAGCCTTCGAATGTGAATACAACATGGAACCATCGGTGATGGTCTCTCGGAGAATCCATAATGATGGATTATGGCTACCATTGGTTACCTATGTTACCTTAATCCATGATATTATCATAATCAAATTCATAATCATTATCATGGATAATCATGACACTATTGAAAACATGACCATGAATCATGATAGAAACCATGATGGAACAATGATGAACAAAGAATGGATATGCAGCGATAATCATCGATGATGTGATGGATGAATGTTCAGCTTTGATGATGGATACAGTAACTGGATAACCATCAACTATCGCGATGCTTGATGATAATGACAATGACCAATTGCCACGATCAACGGTGATGATGATCAGTGATGGATACACAAATCAATCCCAAACAACGCAATTTTTGGACAACTTCTGCTGCAACAGACCAGTGCCTGCACCGATGCTGCTGCTTTACTCTCTGCCTTTGGTCGAGCTGCAGCTTTTCGGCTGGGGACCTGCCAGCTGATCGAGTCATCTCGACAGCTAACAATTGATTGCCATAGGTTTGTTCCAGGGGGTATCATCCCAAAATGGCAATTCTAATGGGGAAAAATGAAGGTTTAAACGTGTTCCCTCCAACCCGGACGTTGCTCCACACCTCAAGAGAATCATCAATCATCAAGAGAATCATCATCAAGAGAATCATCATCAAGAGAATCATCATCAAGAGAATCACCATCAAGAGAATCATCATCAAGAGAATCATCATCAAGAGAATCATCATCAAGAGAATCATCATCAAGAGAATCATCATCAAGAGAATCATCATCAAGAGAATCATCATCAAGAGAATCATCATCAAGAGAATCATCATCAAGAGAATCATCATCAAGAGAACCATCATCAAGAGAATCATCATCAAGAGAATCATCATCAAGAGAATCATCATCAAGAGAATCATCATCAAGAGAATCATCATCAAGAGAATCACCATCAAGAGAATCACCATCAAGAGAATCACCATCAAGAGAATCATCATCAAGAGAATCATCATCAAGAGAATCATCATCAAGAGAATCATCATCAAGAGAATCATCATCAAGAGAATCATCATCAAGAGAATCATCATCAAGAGAATCATCATCAAGAGAATCATCATCATCATCATCATCATCATCATTCTGGTGCTTGATAGGGAATGGGGGAATGATAAAAAGGATCCAATCCATATCCTCAACTTATCTTCATAAAGGTCAAATTTGCCACCCCCTCTGACTTATATGTTGATGATAATAGGAACATGAACTTATCTTGCTGAGGGATCAAAATCTGCCACCCCCTCTGATTACTACGTTGGCAGGGATCATAACATCAACTTATCTTCATAAAGGGATCAAATTTTGCCACCCCCTCTGACTTATATGTTGATGATAATAAGAACATGAACTTATCTTGTTGAGGGATCAAAATCCGCCACCCCCGCTGACTACTACGTTACGTTGACAGGGATCATTGCATCAACTTATCTTCCTAAGGGATCAAAAAATGGCACCCCCTCTGAGTTATATATGATGGAATATATGATATATGTGCTATGTACTATTATTTCCTTTGGCCACTTCTGATTCCGACGCGGAGCAACGTAGGGGTTGCAGCGAACATGTTTTAACCACGGGAAAATTTAGGGCTTCTCTTTTTGCACAAAGCCGCACATTGGCCACCAGATTTAATGCCCATGAAACAAGTTCAATGCACATAGCATAAGCCTCGTCCCAAAAAATCGATCAAAAGCGGTCAGCCATGTGTTGCTCTGCCCAGTGGTGCCTTGGCTTTGGGAATTCGCTTCCCATTCTGCACAGCCTCCTCCTTCTCCAGTGCTGTGGGAGATAACCTGCAGAATCCACCGGCTTTAGCTATACGGCTGCCCGCGCCCGCCGCCGACCAGGTGATATACCGTAATTTACGGTGTTTCGTGCTCTTCGACAAAAACCTACATTTAGCCCCAAGATGGCCCCAGCTGCGCCCCAAGATGGCCCAACATAGGCCCAAGATGGCCCCAGGATGGACCAAGATCGCCCAACATAGGCCCAAGATGGCCCAACATTGACTCATCTTGACTCGGTCAAAACGTGCAAATCCTAGCTTTGCCTTGTTGATAGGTGCAATCCGCGAAGCTTCATTAGACATTTAGTGATTTCAGTGCGCAGCTCAAATTGTAAGGCCATCGAAATTGGATGGCTTCAATCGGCTTCAAAATTGGTTCTTCTGAAAACAAAGCTCCCCAAAACCCCATGGTTTATCATTCCAGGATCCTTCCGACAAACCCAACCCATTCGTCACTTCTTCCAGGTCCTTCCTTGAAGCCCGTCGTTTCTGAGGCCGCTGCGGCCGTGCAAGCAGCTCGGCCATCTTACTGAAGACTGACCTTATAATGAGTTCATTTCGCTGTGGGCCAAGGTATGGTGATTTTTCCAGAAGGAAAACATGATAGAAGAGGACCAGATTTTTTAGGTCCTCTAATTTGACATCCTGACCTACATGGCTGAATTTTGCTGAACTTTGGGCTCACTATTACAAGCACTTCTTCTGTGCAAGGAGATCTGGAAACTTTCCTCAGCTTCATGCACATCAATCTCCGCCATGGATTTCTTTTGAAACCTTGGCGAACGGGACGAATCACTAGTAGTGGCTCTGACACATCTGAGGACAGCGCCCTCCAACGAAGTGGCAGTCATTGCTGGTACCCTCGCGAGGTACCACAGCTACATGATGCTTAGTCGAAATGGCAGCAGGAAATTTGGTGTAAACACACAACATGTAGTTACCGCTGGAAACGCATCTTAGCTTCTTTTTCCAATCAATCCTCCAAGCGTGTTTTTATGTCGTTTCCGTGAGGTTGGTAGCGCTATCTTACGTCCATGCACCCCCTGATCCAAGCCCACTGGATCGGGATGATACAGAAGCACCAGCGATTTTTTGTTCCGAAAGTTTCAAACCATTGGCCGCCAGCAACTTGACGTCGTCTTGACGCACCAAGTTGCGCAGTAAACCAATCACTTGCAGAGTTTGGATCTGCAATCTTCGTGAATGCCCCAGCTTCACCGGTTGCATTTTTGCAACTTTGGAGCATCTGTTCCACATGGGAGTTCTCGGAGGGCATCAATTGCTGTTGCCTTCCCAGCCGGCCTGAGGCCCACAGGACTTGACCAGGTATTCCACAAATTTTGGCTGGCTTTTGGGGCCAGCTATTTTGAATCACAATTTTTTTGAACTTATATCCGCCGACCCCGGCTGCGCAAGGGGGAGCGCGAAAGGGAAAAAATTTTTCTGACACAGCATTGGTAGCTAATTTTTCTATTCTATATCCGCCGACCCCGGCTGCGCAATGGTGTTTTCTCATCCGGGGACTAGCAGCAGTAGCAGCAAAAGCCTCTGCAGCAGCAGGAGGACAAGGTAGCTAAAATTCATAGCAGCAGCAAGAGGAAAAAGCCACCAAAATCATCATTTTCTATGGGTTTCAGAAGTTACGTTAGGCATGTTCGGGATGCAATTTTGGGGCTTCGCCGTCCTTCACTGCCATGGTGTTTTCCCATCTGGGGACCAGCAGCAGCAGCAGCAAAAGTTTCTGCAGAAGCAGGAGGTTTCAGAAGTTACGTTAGGCATTTTCGGGGTGCAATTTTGGGGCGTCTCCGTCCTTCAGAGGCATGGTGTTTCCCTGCCGGGAGGTGATTTTTTCCATGGTGTTTTCCCATCCGAGGACCAGCAGCAGCAGCAGCAAAAGCCTCTGCAGCAGCAGGAGGAAAAGGTAGCCAAAATTCATAGCAGCAGCAAGAGGAAAAAGCAGCCAAAATCATCATTTTCTATGGGTTTCAGAAGTTACGTTAGGCATTTTCGGGGTGCAATTTTGGGGCTTCTCCGTCCTTCAGAGGCATGGTGTTTCCCTGCCGGGAGGTGATTTTTTCCATGGTGTTTTCCCATTTGGGGACCGGATGTAAAGGTAGCCAAAATTCATAGCAGCAGCAAGAAGAAAAAGGAGCCAAAAGCATCATTTTCTATGGGTTTCAGCAGTGCAGCGGGAGCGCCGGGAGCGCCGGGTGCGCCGGGTGCGCTGGGTGCGCCGGGTGCGCTCAATTGGCTGAGCGTGCGAGAAGATGTAAGTGCAGGAGCAAGCGGACATTCTGCAATGTAGCGTGGAGCATGAGTTCTAATGCAAAGGAAATTTGAACAGCATGGAGCAAAGCATCAACTCTGTGTGGAGGAAGGTGTAGGTGAAGAGTAACATCAAGCATGCGTGCTACGTGGACAGCCTGCAGCGTACCATCAAGAACATGCAAAAGAGCAAGTCAACATTCTGTATATTTACATGGCGGCAAGGATGTGTGCAAGTTAAAGCGAACATTCTATACAATGTAGAGACCCCCTGTGCAAGTGCAGGTGAACATTCTACAGCGTCGCATCAAGGCTGCCTCTAAGATCATGTTAGGTTAACAAAACATATTCTGATTTTTGAGGCTGTTCTCTGACAGCGCAACTAAGATTCTTAAAACTCGGAAATAGCAAACAAGTGCACAATATTTTGTCCAAGCTTGTCCAAGATCGAAAATAGCAAACAAATGCGCAATATTTTGTCCAAGATTGCCCAAGTTTCTTTTGACAATGTTTAAGCGATCGGGAGGACAAAAAAACGTGATTTGTGGATAGACACGAAAGATAGAAAGACACAAAAAAAGGCAGACAGGTACGCGATAGAAACGCAGAACCACTAAACGACTTGAGAGGTAGAAAAAACATGGAGATAGAACGACAACGATAGAAAGAAAAAACCGACAGCGAAAGAACAATAGCTAGATTTAAATTACTTTACTTCGAGTGTGCCGCACCATGGCATTTCAAGACATACATGTGGACATATATTCTGACATTTTACCCAACATTCTATCTGACATCTATTCTGACATTCTGTTGGGCGTTCTATCTGACATATATTCCGACTTTCACTTTGAACAAAGAAAAGATCAATCAGATAGGTTGAAACGGAAAAGCTAGATAGATATATACTAAAGAAAGGTCTAGATTGACAGATAGGTTAGTTAGATAGATAGATAGATAGATAGATCGATAGATCGATCGATAGATAGATAGATAGACAGATAGATAGATAGATAGATAGACAGATAGATAGATAGACAGATAGATAGATAGATAGATAGACAGATAGATAGATAGCTAGCTAGATAGATAGCTAGAATAGATAGAATAGATAGAACAGATAGAATAGATAGAATAGATAGAATACATAGATTAGATACTGAGCTAAATTTAAAGGCGTTGGCAAGTTGATTCTGGCAAAGTACTGTTGGCACTTTAGACTAAAATATCACGATACATTCAAACACAAAATGTTTAGGTTTGAGTCCAAAATATCACGCCAAACTCTGAAACGAATGCCCAAAATATATGTTGATGATTATCGTTGTTTTGTATTTCAGTCTTGCTTAAACTGTGTGCATGCCGTTTTGCCAAAGACTTGTCATTGTTTTATTCGCTAACAGGGCGATCTGTTTGGTTCGCTATCGCTAACGAGGGAACTGTTTGGTTCGCTATCGCTAGCGTTAGTGATTTTTTAGTACTGTTTTGTTGAACTCCAAACACCATTTTAATAAAGTTGGTGTTGTATGGGGTTGCGAATTTTGCTTTCTCTTACACACGTCGCTAGCGGTAGTGACAGCTGCAAGGGAAAATCCATTTCGCTGGAGCTGGGAAAACATGTGTTTTCGCAAACAAAGCGTTGCGAAATCAGAAGATTTGTAACTCTCCTGCGAAATTACCATCCCCATAGACACGTCGCTAGCGTTAGTGGCAGCTGTAAGTTGCGAATTTCGCTTTCTGTTACAACACTATCTTTATTAAATTTGAGTTTCTAAAAAATGTGACAATATTCTTTCTTGAACTTGCTATGAATAATTTCATCCCGCCGCGAGCCCAAATTTTGCCTTGATATGGCTTGATTAAAAAACTATGATGATGGTAACATTTCAGAAACAGTTTAAACATGCAAAGATGATGGTGGCAACATTTTGTCCTACTATATAATTGACTGGATGACTGATGGTGGCAACAGTGCTTCTTCATTTGAATGAAAAGAAACAGTTATATAATTATATATGGGATCATGATGGCAACCGTATTTCGCCATTTGTAAGGTGATGGAAGCAGCACTATTTCATAAACATGTCGAATTGTTTTTACCCGATGGTGGCTACAGTATTTTTGCGATTTCACTTTTCACCTTCACTAAAAGGACCTCAGGATAGATAGATTAGACAGATAAGACAGATTAGACAGATTAGATATAGATTAGATAGATTAGATAGATTGGAAAGATTACATAGATTAGATAGGTTTAGATAGATTGGATAGATTAGAAAGATTAGATGTAATAGATAGAATAGATAGAATAGATAGAATAGATAGAATAGATAGAATAGGTAGAAAGAAAGATAGATAGATAGAATGAATAGCTAGGTAGAATGAATAGATAGATAGAATGAATAGATAGATTGATTGAATAGATAGATAGAATGAATAGATGTGTACTCGGTGCACTGCAAGTGTACTCGGTGCACTCGGTGCACTCAGTGCGCTGCAAGTGTGCTCGGTGCACTCGGTGCACTCGGTGCGCTGCAAGTGCACTCGGTGCACTCGGTGCACTCGGTGCGCTGCAAGTCCACTCGGTGCACTCGGTGCGCTGCAAGTCCACTCGGTGCACTCGGTGCGCTGCAAGTGCACTCGGTGCACTCGGTGCACTCGGTGCACTCGGTGCACTCGGTGCACTCGGTGCACTCGGTGCACTCGGTGCACTCGGTGCACTCGGTGCACTCGGTGCGCTGCAAGTGCACTCGGTGCACTCGGTGCACTCGGTGTACTTGGTGCACTCGGTGCACTCGGTGCGCTGCAAGTGCACTCGGTGCACTCGGTGCGCTGCAAGTGTACTCGGTGTACTGGGTGCACTCGGTGCACTCGGTGCGCTGCAAGTGTGCTCGGTGCACTCGGTGCGCTGCAAGTGCACTCGGTGCACTCGGTGCACTCGGTGCTCACACTGTGCGCAGTCACTGATCGCAGCCGCAATGGGTTTCAGAAGTTACGTTAGGCATTTTCGGGGTGCAATTTTGGAGCTTCTCCGTCCTTCAGAGGCATGGTGTTTCCCTGCCGGGAGGTGATTTTTTCTATGATGTTTTTCCATCCGGGGACCAGCAGCAGCAGCAGCAAAAGCCTCTGCAGCAGCAGGAGGAAAAGGTAGCCAAAATTCACAGCAGCAGCAAGAGGAAAAAGGAGCCAAAATCATCATTTTCTATGGGTTTCGGAAGTTACGTTAGGCATTTTCGGGGTGCAATTTTGGGGCTTCTCCGTCCTTCAGAGGCATGGTGTTTCCCTGCCGGGAGGTGATTTTTTCCATTGTGTTTTTGCATCCGGGGACCAGCAGCAGCAGCAGCAGCAGCAAAAGCCTCTGCAGCAGCAGCAGGAAAAGGTAGCCAAAATTCATAGCAGCAGCAAGAGGAAAAAGCAGCCAAAATCATCATTTTCTCTGGGTTTCAGAAGTTACGTTAGGCATTTTCGGGGTGCAGCAGCAGGAGGAAAAGCTAGCCAAAATTCATAGCAGCAGCATGCAGCAGCAAGAGGAAAAAGGAGCCAAAAGCATCATTTTCTATGGGTTTCAGAAGTTACGTTAAGCATTTTCGGGGTGCAGCAGCAGGAGGAAAAGCTAGCCAAAATTCATAGCAGCAGCAAGA